ATCCAAGGGATACAAGTGTGCTGTTTTGAAGGGACACATGCACCCCCATGTTTATAGCAGCACTATCAACCATAGCCAAAGTATGGAGAGAGCCCAAATGTCCATCAATGGATGAATGGATAAAGAAGATGTGGTATACATATACAATGGAGTATTACTCGGCAGTCAGAAAGAATGAAATCTTGCCATTTGCAACTACGTGGATGGAACTAAAGGGTATTATGCTAAGCGAAATTAGAGAAAGACAAATATCATATGACTTCATTCATATGAGGACTTTAAGACACTTAACAGATGAACATAAGGGAAGGGAAGCAAAAATTACATAAAAACAGGGAGAGGGACAAAACAGAAGAGACTTAAATATGGAGAACAAACAGAGGGTTACTAGAGGGGTTGTGGGGGGGGATGGGCTAAATGGGTAAGGGGCATTAAGGAATCTACTCCTGAAATCATTGTTGCACTATATGCTAACTAACTTGGATGTAAATTAAAAAAATTAAATTAAATTAAAAAAGAAAAAAAACCCAGAAAACGTGCCTGGGATCTGTTTTTTAGGTTCCTTGTTCTTAGATTCCAAGTGTACAGTATTATATCAAATGCCTGTAGAAACTCTGCTGTAAAAAAGTCTACTTACCACCCCCCCCCCCCAATTTTTAAAATGTGTTTGAGCATAGAATCCCTTTCCCTTGTAATGGTTTGGAACAGCACACATTGATATAACGTGATGTATGAATATCCAATTTTAGAGAGAGATAGTTTAGGGTATATGAAGGAGAATCGTGCCTCCTCCTATCCTTGCTGCTGAAAATAGCCTGGGCACCTTTAGGTTCCAAACTACTGCTGGCTGGATTAGTTGAAGCGATGCATAAGCAGGTATGGAGGGGTCAGTCACACCATTAGCCCTTTGCTAATACCCACTGGGACCCTGGCTTTACCTCTTCAATTGTCAGGATGCTTAACTGATCATTCTTAAAGCTACCATATAGAAAGATGAGCTTAGTTTCTCTCCAGTATTAAGAACAAGACCAGGAAAAGGGTTGGATGGAATATTTCCAAGCAGATTTATTACTAATCTCCCACATGCAAACCAACAGTCAAGCCAGGGGATCTTAACAACCAAAACTTTGCTGGTTGGGCACACACTCATGCTTAGGATGAACTCTTCTCACCGCTGGCCCAGGAAACAAAAGGAACCAGAGACAAGGTTAGTTTAGAAAACATTTTGATATTTTGGATTTTTTATCTTTTGAAAGTTTAGGCTTTTGTAATCCCAAATGGTTCTGGGGGAAAAAAGTTATTAGCTTCATGTTCAGAAAAACAGTATGTTATATTCGAGCTTATGGTTTACTAGTAAGTCAAATAGATCTATAATATAGACCCCATGTGTAATATTCATTTCACATGGAACCTCTATTCAATGGAATGCAAGCCTACTGACAGGGGTTATCTAATTCGTTAAAGTAATTGCTAAGCTATAGAGAATATTAATACTAAAATCTGATTAAATAGACTTTGGTGGGATGACAGACGTGAGCAATGAACAAGAAGGTATTATTTCTATGCTCCAAATAAATAATGTTAAGCAGACTGGTGTCTGTCTTCATGTAGCTTACGGTGGTATTTGTAGTTAAAAAAAAAAAAAAGTTTCAGCCAAAGGAGAGAGAGAGAGAGAGAGAGAGAGAGAGAGAGAGAGAGAGAGAGAAGAATGAGAATTCTTTGAATATCCCTTATGCCCCAATTATTATCTCAAGATATCCTATGTTTCAAGAGAAGGAGCCTAGCAGGGAGTGTGGTGAGGGGGACCCTAGCCCTGGAATTAGAGACACCCAAGGATCAGCTCTGCCCCTGCTTAGTCATGGTACAGCCTTGGGTAAATTGCCCAACATCTCTGAACTTTAGTTTCTTCATAGAATTCTTATTTCATTGGGTTCTTGGGAGGAGCGAACAGAGTAGTGTGTATCTGGTATGTAACAAGTCCTCAATAAATAATACATATTTTTGATGGGCAATATACTGGACAAAGATGATAAAAGATGGAGAGTAGGTCTGGGGAAGAGGTTTAAGGGGTTGGATGTGAACCTGGAAAGGAAGGAATCAGGTAGAAGGCTAAGAAAAAATAGTTTTAGAGCTTTGAAAACCTGCAGAGTAATTAGATGAAGCATTGGTTAATTCAAACACTATATAGTTTCTAAATCTGGTATATTTTTAACCTTCTTAAGTGGAATGCTAAATTCCTTAGTGTAGTTTGGGAAAAATAGCAGTGGTAGGATCAGGAGTCAGCAGACCTGCCTGTTAGGAAATTCTCAGTGTTCAGAAAATAACATATAAGTCACCTATACAAGCTTATTTTTTGCAGCATTGTTTTGAAGAGAAAAGGTTTGGAAACAGTACAAATTCTTCAATCGATTAGGTAAGTCATTCATTTACCAGAAGATTATGCAACTCTAAAGAATATTCAGTTACCTCTTATTAAAATATGAAAAGATATACAAGATTTTTTTTTTTTAAAAAGCAAGGATCAAAGCATTGCATATAATGTCCTACTTCTTGAGTATAAAGCCAAGGGGATTAATATCTATGTTTACATTTGCTTACATAGACATAAGGAAACTGGATGGACATAGAAATTAAGAAAAGTGGTTTCTGTGGGGCAGAGGCTGAGAAGACCCAGAAAATGACAGACAAGGACTGTATATCATTTTATACTTGTTTTTTTTTTTCAGCCAGATGTAATTTCTATTTAAAAAAAAATCAAGTTAAAAAATTTAAACATTAAAAAAAAATGTGAATGCTTTAAAGGGGTGTTACCCACAATTTAAAGTTAGGAATCTGCTTGCTTTATCCTGACACTAAACTGAGGTCAGTTCAAATCAAGAAGGACTGAGTTTTGATTTGTGAAAAAGGTGGATGAGGAGGGAACTACTTCACTTTTGGAGGATAATATATTCCAAGGGATCTGAGTTAGAGGTGGGATACATTATAGGAGGAGTTAGAGTCTAAATTGTGTCGTGGGCACTTGAGCAGTAGGGAGGCAGGTCAGCGTGGGGGAAAGGGAGAAAAGAAGGCAAGGACCCACTCTGCCTATGGGCAGTTTGGCCTCGGTCCCTTGGAACTTTATCGCACTGGTGGTCAGCTCAATACTGACCAATACTGACAGTCCCTTGCCGGGATTGTAGAGCAGTGGATTCCATTAGCATTTCAACAGCATGACACGAGACAACTGGTTACCACCTCAAACCTGGGAGTTGAGTGGAAATAAAGATGGAGAACATGGAATAAAACGCCCAAGGATTTCTACTTAACATCACTAAGTTTCCCTGGTTTGATGTTAGAGGTTAGACGGAGGTTATGATAGCTAATTTTTTTTTTTTTTAAATTTTATCTGAGGCACAGAAGAACTAAGGGAAGTCAGAGGGGATCTTTTAGAAATTGTCACAGGGGCGCCTGGGTGGCGCAGTCGGTTAAGCGTCCGACTTCAACCAGGTCACGATCTCGCGGTCTGTGAGTTCGAGCCCCGCGTCGGGCTCTGGGCTGATGGCTCAGAGCCTGGAGCCTGTTTCCGATTCTGTGTCTCCCTCTCTCTCTGCCCCTCCTCCGTTCATGCTCTGTCTCTCTCTGTCCCAAAAATAAATAAACGTTGGGAGAAGAAGAAAAAAAAAAAGAAAAAAAATGTTTAGAAATTGTCACAAAAATAATGTTTCTGAGTTATGGACCAGTATTAAAATGAGAAGGTGACAGATGAGGAGGACACAAACGTGACAAGGCTGAATCCTTCTAGAAGATGGATAATCATGGCGTCATTTCAAATGTGCTTTCTACAGGATAGATTAATGGGGGATTTGATCACTAATCTGTTGATCAACAGCAAGATATTGATCTGAGGAAGATGATAGACTGCAAGATGCTTCTGCAGAACCGAAAAAGAAAAACATACTTATACTTAGAACTGCTTTAATTAGGCCATATTTTTGTTAGGAAGAAAATATGTCTGATAGTGGTGTGGTCTCTATTCCACAAGCATCCTTTCTCCACCTTCCCCAATAATAAACAATAGTTGCACATTATTGGCCTAAAATATTAATCATTTCAGGTATAAGTGAGCGTCCATTGTCACTCTGCAGGGTTACAATGACGTGGGAAGTCAGGCCATTCGGCATCAAGTTTTAGCACGTGCCATAGGATTGTAACATCTCCGGAAGAAAATTAAGCTATTTACCCCGAAGGAGACTAAAGTGTCCCTTTGGCTTATCCTAGTTAGGTACTACTTTAGGAATCAGCAAAGTTCAGAAAGATTTATGTCGAGAAATAGAAAACAGCTGAACTACAAAACAGAAAGTGGCATTTCCTGAGCCCCGTTTCCTCTCTTATTTGAATATTGGGCTTAGGAAACGCATGATGACATTCTGGACATTTAAGATCACTTGGAAGCGGTTTTCTCAAGCTCTGTACTATTGACACTGGGCTGGCTATTTTGCTGCCCTACGTGGTCCCAGATGTGTCGCAGCCACTCCGGCCTCTATCAGCATGCTACCTGCCAGTAGCAACCTCCGGTAGTGACAATCACAACTGCCTCAAGACATTGCCAAATGTTCCCGGGCATCAGAATTGACCCAGTCTGAAAACCATCAGCCGAAAGGTTTGCTCATCTTTTTGTCTAACTCTTTTGTGGCAGTAAGGGGAACACACCTTAGCCTCATCCAACAGAAATGAAACCCAGCTAAGGAAGTAAATGAAAGCAAAACCACTTATCGATCAAGTGGATATATTTCCCTTCCCACCCCAAAAGCGGCCCACCAAGGCACTTGCTCACAGAACTAAGGATTTTTGCCTTTCACACCTCCCATACTGAAGCAAAAAAAATGCCAAAGAGAGGTCACCACATGCCAGGAGTCCCGGTGATGGAATCATTCCTTGTTACAATTTTTTTTCCCCAGAAGGTAAAACACCCTCTGCTGTAGAACAAAACTTGTTAAATAGCGAACGAGAAAAGAACTCACTGTTTCCAGAAGCGGCTTTGCGGAATCTCGTCAGGTCAACATTTGGGGGTCTGCTGGGCTTTGGTGGTGGTGGGCCCAGGGTGAACAGGGGAGGCAGGGGCTTCTGCCTAGGGGTGGCTGAATTCTTGTCTCCCCTTTCCTTCTCCTGACTTTGGCCCCATGGCCCTGCCCCTGTCAGCTTAGAAGGCGTCTTAGGGAACTTGGCAGGAGGAGCCCCAGAGGCTGGGTCCTCCTGATTCATTTTGCTCAGGAAGACGTTCTTAGCAGCATCTATCTTCCTATCTTCTTTTTTCTCCTCAGCATTTTTGGAGAGGCCTGGGCTTCCTCTGTTCACGGCAGGTTTCAGAACCACGCCAGGGAAAGGTGAACTTGACGTCTCTCCTCCCTGGTCTTTATTTTCTTCGTCATGCCTTGTTGGTTTTAAAGGGGTCATTTTGGACTTGGCTCCAAGGGGGGTCGGGAGGCCTTTCTGTAGAGACGCGTGCTTGGTGGCGTTCTCGTCTTCGTGGCTGTCATCACTACTCAGGGATGGCTTCTGGCCAAAGACGGGCTTGGTTAAGAGGGGCTTGGGGTCGTGGTCTTGGGAGGCTGACCCAAACTTGCCTTTAACCCCAGCCAACTTGGGGAACACTTGCTTCTGCTCAGTTTCCTGGGCTGGGGGATTAGAGCCCGGCTTGGGGCCTGGTGGCTTTAGGTCGTGGTCTTCGTTTACATTGTGAAGCAAAGGCTTATTCCCATGGGGCCGGGGAAACACAGGTTTGGAATCTTCCTTGGGCACATTGATGGGCTTGGGGCCTACAGGTTTTGGAAATCCCACTTTTACCTCAGGGTCTCTGGTGGCTGAGTTTGCCGGTGGTCCAAATCTTTGGCCCACTCCCGTAGGCTTTAGAAACGGGGGCTTGGGCTCCTTGTCAGGCTTCTCCTCAGATGAAGGTTTCACTGCCAAAGGTGGCTTTGGGGACCCAAACCTAGGTACGTTGCTAGGTCCCGCAGGAGGGCTGGCACTTCCTTGGTTGTTGAATAGGTTCTTTTTAGCTTGTACTCCTGAAGGTGAGCTTTGCCCCGCGACTTTGAAGGGGCGGCTGTTGACAGAGACCTCCTCCGTGGGTTTGCCCCCCGTGTTAAATTTCGCCATGAGGGACTTCACATCTGCTTTTGTGTCCTACAAGCACAGGGAACAAAAACTAACTGAGAGCCAGAAGTCTCACTTGCACAATTTAAAATACTACACTCTAAAGGCTTCCTGGTTTGAGGCTTGCAGCGTCCCTGATTGGTTAGGGAGACATTGTAACACTTATCTTCCTCTATGGCAAAATAATCTGTGAGAGTTTCTTGAAGGGGAGGGCTGTTGCTGTGCATAGAGTGTTTTGTTTTGTTTTGCTTGTCTAAGACTGACTCGTCTATTTCTGTTTAAGTTACAACTTACCTTTTGTCTTTCTCCAGCTCTCCTGTTGGATTTCTTCTAAACTTGGTGTGTTTCTCCTTTGTTTTACTTGACAAAATATGGAAGTGACTAATAAGGGACTTCTTCCATATTTTACAGTCGGGCCTCTTAAACAGAAACTGCACTTGAAAAAGTGAAAATAAGTTCTTCTATAAATCCAGCTGGCACGCTTTCTACAGCACGGCCATGTTTAACATCTCTGTGGTTTGCAAGAGGACTTCTGGTCCCATCCACATTTAAGGTGTTATCTGCTTGAGAACTGAGATGTGGCAGAAAAGCTCACTCATTTGGATAAGTAAATAGTAAGTGAGTTTTTCTACTTATTTGTAAATACTGAGTGCTGCTGATTCAATTGGAACCAGAGTAGCAGGCAGAATGTGATCACCTCCCAAACTGGTCCTCTCTTGGGAACCCACGGGGAAGGTGACCAGGAAGCAGTAGAGACTGGCTGGGAAGTCTCACATCCAGCCTTGTCATTTCTCCAGTCTCCTCTCTTCTAGAAGGACATTTAACACTCCCTCTTAGAAGGCCTGCTGCACAGTTTCTGTCCTTGTCTAGAATTAGGATATTACTCAGTAAAGACAACAAATAGTTACCCTTCTCTGAATATAATCCCCTGTAGTCTGGAAAAATTCATGGTGTTTGCTCTTTCTTTCCAAAGCAAGGATTTGACATTTTCTAGTTCTTCTAGAAATATTTGAAAATCTGAAGCATCAAAAAAAAAAAAAATCACTGAAGATACACCTGTGGCCATGACAGTTTCCATTTTTGTGCTTTAATATTCACCTAGAAGATGTTTTATTTCCCCCCACTACCACCTATCTGGCCACATGTCCAAATACATCTCACTTTTCGATGCCCTACTCCGTACCACAAAACCAGATCATGGGCTCAATATATGGAAACTATTATTAGAAATATTGGGGGGCGCCTGGGTGGCTCAGTCGGTTGGGCGGCCGACTTCAGCTCAGGTCATGATCTCTTGGTCCGTGAGTTCAAGCCCCGCGTCGGGTTCTGTGCTGACAGCTCAGAGCCTGGAGCCTGTTTCAGATTCTGTGTCTCCCTCTCTCTGACCCTCCCCTGTTCATGCTCTGTCTCTCTCTGTCTCAAAAATAAATAAACGTTAAAAAAAAAATTAAAAAAAAAAAGAGAGAAATATTGGGGCGCCTGGGTGGCTCAGTCTGTTAAGCGTCTGACTTCGGCTCAGGTCATGATCTCGTGGTCCGTGAGTTCGAGCCCCACGTCGGGCTCTGTGCTGACAGCTCAGAGCCTGGAGCCTGTTTCAGATTCTGTGTCTCCCTCTTTCTCTGACCCTCCCCTGTTCATGCTCTCTCTCTCTCTGTCTCAAAAATAAATAAACGTTAAAAACAAAATTAAAAAAAAAAAAAGAAATATTAAGTAGCCTATTCAAGGGCTCACAGCCAGGAACTGCGAGCACAGGAATGTAAACTCAGGTGTATCTAGGGATCTGAAGTCCACAAATGGTCTCATTCCTTCTTGTATCCCCACAACACGTGGGCTGGGGTCTGACACCTTCAGGCTTCTAATGCATATTCGGGGAAATAAGGGTTGGCAATGAGCTGAATGAATACTGCGACTTGCAATTTAAAAGAAGTGGTGCCCTCACCTGGAGTTTTTCTTTGTTCCAAACCACAATGTATGTGTGGTTGCAGGATGGGGGAAGGGAACCTAGGTGCTAGGAGGAGAAAAGCAGATGAGAACACCATTTTCCAGTTTGAATTTGCTCCTTTAACTTACTACCCTATCTTCAAGTTGCTGAGAACATCTTGTTTTTTACGTTGTCTACCTTGACCACTCTTTTTGTCCCCATGATATCTTCCAATCCTCAAACAATCCCTGAAGGCTGTAGGCAGGAAGACAGCAGGACTAGGGAGAGTTGGGGTGCTGGGGGATAGAATGGGAGAAGATGGGTCCTTCCCTGTGTCCTCCCAAGGAGATCACGGCTGCAGAGACTTCAAACCCTAACGCAAGATGCATACAGAAGTATTAACACAAAAACATGCTCCCCATCTGTAAGAAAGTTGGTCTCCGGGGAAGAACTCCTTTATTCTGGACTCATTTTATATTTTGCAATGTATATTCTAGATCTATAATTTATTCTAGATTTATAACAAGACGCTACATTGCAGAGTGGTTAATAGCACAGACTGGGGAGCCAGACTGCCTGGGTTTGAATCTTACCAGCTGTTGAACTTAGGGCTGGGGACAGAAGGTCTCTGGGCCTTAGTTTGCTCAGTTCTATCATAGGAATAACAATGCAGCTTCATGGGGCTATTAAGTCGATTAAGCTAATAACTGTAAGCGTGCTTGTAACATCAGAGGGTCTCCTAGTTTTATACCGCAAGGGAAGCCTTAGGAATCATCTAGTCCTCCTCTCTCACTGCACTGGAGAGGAAAGAGCAACTAAAAGATTACGGCAATATCGTACTTAGTGATCGCAACTGCATATCTTGGGTTTCATGGGGGAAAACCCATGAAACAAACAAACCCATTGTCAAACTCCACGTCCTGGTTTTACAGTAGAAAATATGGAAGTGGTTGATTCAGAACTGGAACTTAAGTCTCTTAGCTGCCAGGCCAGACCCAGGAGGCCATGCAACATCATGGTTAATAACCCAGGCTCTAGGATTATTGACTTGGGTTCAAATCTTGATTTTGTCAATTACTGGCCATGTGACCTAACAAGTTACTTAACCTCTCTGAGACTCAGTTTTCTTCCTCTGTAAAATGATAATAATAACTCTCCGTTTTTCACAGGGTTTTGTTTTTAAATCAAGATTAAATGGATGAACGCATGTAACATTCTTAGATCAAGAATTACCTGTACTGCACAGCCAATGATTGTTTGCCAACCTTATTTTTTATAATTCACTAGTCATATGATATCATTTTCTCCAGGTGATCAAATTCTGAAGTTATAATAGTTCACATTATGGTTTTTTAAAAAAAATTCTTTTTAATGTTTATTTCTGAGAGAGAAAGAGAGGTAGAGAGAGTGAGCGAGCACGAGTGGTGAAGGAGCAGAGAGCGAGGGAGAGACAGAATCTGAAGCAGGCTCCAGGCTCTGAGTTGTCAGCACAGAGCCCGACGCGGGGCTTAAACTCATGAACTGCAAGATCATGACCTGAGCTGAAGTTGGATGCTTAACCAACTGAGCCACCCAGGCACCGCAGTTAACGTTATGTTTTAATTTAATTTAATTATGTTTATTTTATTTGTTTTGAATTTTAAAATGTGAGTGTAGTTGACACATATTACATTAGTTTCTGGTGAACAACATAGTGCTTTGACAAGTTTATACATTATGCTATATTATGTTCTTTTTTAAATGTTATTTTTATTTATTTATTTTTTTAGAGAGAGAAAGTGCATGTGTGTGCATGTGTGTGAAAGGGGGAGGGGCAGAGAGAGAGGGACAGAGAACCCCAAGCAGGCTCCACCGTCAGCTTAGAGCCTGGTGTGGGGCTCAATCCCATGACTGTGAGATAATACGAGAGACATTATCAAGAGTCGATTGCTCAACAGACTGAGCCACCCAGGAGCCCCATATGTTATATTATGTTGTAATTTTAAATCAATGTGACTGAAACACACATACTGCTGGATAACATAATGGAGTTATTGTGTTGGAGTTTGGTTTACCCACACTCTGAAACTTTTCACTGAATGTTGAAAAATAGAGAAAGAAATAGTAGTAAGTTCTTACATAGGATGGACACTTTGAAGAAACAGGAACTGCTAATAAATCAGTAGCCCAAACTCTACAACTATTTAATCACTTATTCTGACTGCTTAGCTTTAGGAGTTGTTTGATCATTATCATTGTTTTAAGTTTATTAGAGAAGATTTTCAACATCCAGATTTGCCCTTAATCTTAACAATAATAGCTGGATTTCTTGCATAATGGTAAGGATAGAAAGGTAAAAATGATAAAAAAATTTTTTTGACATTCTTTCATCCTGATTTCATTGCCTCACCAGAGGTAACCACTGTTCTCAGGGTCTTATGTATATTTCTAAGCTGTACATATGCAATTATACACACACACACACACACACACACACACACACACATTCTTCCTGTCCCCACTTTTTGCACAAGTGGAAACCCTTGCTTTGCAGTTTGCTTTTTTCCAGAACTGATAGTTGCTACATACGAGCTCAGCTGGATATATCACAAGCAACCATTCTGATTGCTTGGTACCTGTACAATTCCAGTGGTTAAATATTTTCAATATTATCTCTGTCATCTTCCCTTACAGTTGATCCACATCAGTGCATATTATTGGCACAATTTTTTTAAATAGGTTTTTATTTTATTTTATTTTTATAACGGTTTTAGATTTACAAAAGCACTGAGAAGATGGTACAGGGAGTTGCGTCTGGTTTCCCTTATTAACACTTTACATTAGTTTGCAGAACCTTTTTAACTTTTAATGATTTAAAGATTGGCCCCTACTTATTCCTAAGAAGAGGTATTTAAAATCTGGAAGACCTTTTGAGTTCAGGATATTTTAAGTAAATCAAACATGTCATCTCAAATTACTCAAATTTCTTTTCCAAAATCATTTGAAGCAATTCATTATGATTTCCCTCTGTACCTACATTTCCATCTACTTATATAATGTTTAGTACAAACAACTCCCATCTCTTGCTCTATAATCACACAGATGTAACTGTGGAAATACTCTTGATAGA